GGAAAATGGAATTGAAATGTATTAAGATATATTATCATATATCTTCCCAAAATGTATTCCACCATTATGTAATGTTAATATGCACTAATAAAATATAGTGAAATTTAAAAATTGAGAATGAAAGAAATAAATGAAAAGTGAAATGTGAAAAAATAAAAAGACTGGACATTCTCCAAAGATGTACAAAATAAAGAGTTACATTAAAAACATTTTAAAATCAACAGCAATCATGAAATTGAGACAATACAATGAAATACTAACTTGTTAGCATGCTTCTAGAAAGAAAAGAAAAAAAAAAGGAAAAGTGTTCATGAGGATTCAAGAAATCAAACCCTTCTACACGAGGTGTGATTGAAAATTATAGTGAATGTATAAATTTTGAAAGTGTCTTATAGTAAAAGTTACATTGCCACTGATCACCCTCAAAAATATTCCCCCTCACTTTAAAAACATTTATCCCATAGTTCTTTTCATTTTCTGACACAGTTCTAGAAGTACTCTTTCATGAATGTCTTTATTTCCACTGTTATGACTTCCTCAATGTCTAGAATAAGTTTTTTTTTTTCTTTAAATTGCCTTCCATGGTCATTTTGATTTGAGGAAAAAGCCAAAAGTCAGGTCGTACCAGATCCTGTGCACAAGATGGATGAAGATGCATCATAATATTATACCAGCCTGCCATTCTGTTGGATGACACTTGGCAATAGGATTCATCATATTTTTATGACATCTCACAAAGACACTCACAAAAAAGGACTTCCAGAACTTCTTTGGAAAGTGAATTATAGGATAAGTATGCTCAAAGCAAGGAGGGGGATTCATGGTAATATATATTTTACTGTAAAAAAAAGTTTGTATTTAAATATTTACTGTTTATGTCTATAATATTTTATATGGTTCATGGGAATGAAAACTATTGCTGCCACTAGATTTAAAAGGTATGGAGGTTCTTCAAAAAACTAAAACTTGAACCAGCATATGATCTAGCAATTCCATCTCTGGATATTTATGCAAAAAATTTGAAAGCCGTATCTCAAAGAGAAATATGCAATCTGTTATTTGTTACCACACTATTCAAAACATTCAAGCTGTGCAAACAAAGTAATATCAGTCAATGAATAAGTGGGTTTTTAAGGGTAGTATAGATGCACAGTGAAATGCTTTTCCAACTTAAAAATGATGGTGATTCTATTAATGCACCATGAATGAACACTGAGGAAATGGTGCTGAGTGAAATAAGCCAGTCAATAAAAGATAAATGCTGCATTCTTGCACTTATAGTAGGTATCTAAGGTCATCATGTGCTGTTGATTTTAAAATGTTTTTAATGTAACTCTTTATTTTGTATGTCAACTGTACCTGACAGGCTCAGAGAGTACAATATGCCCCAAGCCTAAGGGGAAGGGGAAATGGGGGAATAGTGGTCAAGAAGAACAGTTTGATTTACACAAATAAATAAGTTCTAGAGATCTACTGTATGACATCATGCCTAGAGTTAACAATCCTGAAATATAAACTTAGAGTTTTGTTAAAATAATAGATCTCATGCTAAGTGTTCCTACCACAATTTTTTAAATCTTATTCCTAATATTTGAAAACCTGAGTGAAAAAAAGGGCATAAGTAGTGGACAAATATTTTGTCAGAAAACTCCAAAAAGGAAAAAAGGTACCAAATTAGAGATGGGTAAGTAGAGACCAAGGAGATATCTGAGATGTCCACAGGCAAAGAGACCTGAGTAAGATCTTCCATGGGACAGGAGAGGAACAGGTCCAGGCCGAGTAATATCTCTATCTTCCTTTTAGTTCAGGAACTGGAAGTATTTTCCTTAAGATGGTGCTTCCCTAGGTTACCTAGGCTAGCCTCATACTCCTGGGCTCTAACAATCCTCTGCTCAGGTTTCCAAGTGGGTGGCACATGGGAATGTTATTTAAAACTATTTTTAGAGATATGTTGCAATAGCCCTAGAGATACATTTATGTCAAGAATTTCCCTAAAGAATCTCTCTCAAAATGGAGCCATAATTTAAATATCTAGATTCTAACACAACTTTCTTTTCTTACTGTCTTCCAAAGGTGGTTTATTTGGTTTTGTTGATTGGAAATATTTGTTCAGAATCACCAATTGCATGGGATGAGAATTTCAATCAAATTCTGATTGGATCATATCACTTAATGGCTATCTGAATGAAACTGAACAGAATCTTCATTTGCCATTTCCAAGTTTTCCTGACACCCTGGACTATGTATGAAATATGATACCTAAGAAACCACAGTATCAGTTTACAATAAGTATGACTTTTGATTTATATCCTATAATTCAGCTTAATATATTGTTATGGTTTGTGATTATATGTCCCCACAAAGCCTCATGTGGTCATAAGTGGACTTTTTCAGATGTGGCTGAATCTAGAGTGCGTAATGCTGGGATTAAGGGTGTGTGATTACTAAATCAGTCCACTGATTGGTTTTTCACAACCTTACTCCTGGTAGCCTAGATAGAATATAAAAGGGGAAGAAAGACATTGTGAAGGTCATTTTTCTCTTGTTACTTTTGCTGTCTTTCACCACTATGAACTGTTGCCCTCTGCCATGTGCCACCCTGCCTTGGAGCCAGCTGATTATGGATGGAAACCTCCATAAATTGTGAGTTAAATAAAGCTTTCCTCCTTTAACTTTGGGTGTCGGGCCTATTGTCTGAGCAACAAGAAGAAAGAAACTAAGACATATATATTATGTCTTATTTCTACCAGGCCAAAGATATTCTTCCTGGACTTGGTGAAAGTATCAGGACAAGTCTGAAGTGTCAGCAGTCAAGGCAACAAGACAAACAGATTGTAAGAGGTAGTTCAGCTACTTAGCCTATATATAGGCATCTAGCAAGAGACAAAGCCTAAGATGGAGTCTGGCTGGTGAACTGTGCAAAGAAAACAGCACCTACACAGAGTTAAGGATTAATTCAAGCCATAGAGATCACTATGCTTAGGAATGTAAAAACAGAGAAGTGTCCACTGTAACTTTACCCGTCCTCCCTTTAACTTTGTTCTCCCTATTTACACAGCAAGATTCCTGCATGATCAGTGTAGGACCACTGCATGCTCTATTTCTGTATAGATGACATTAGACCATGGGCAGTTCATACCCAGATTCTATTGGCTAAGCCAACTGTACCTTGATATGTTATAGCCAGAAACCTGTCCATCTAGATATAAAAGATCTCTGGAGACCCTTTTCAGAATTCTTCCTATCAGCTTTTTTTTTTCCTTCTTGTACTTCCAATAACCCCTCCTTTTAACTGCCTCCTTTGTCTGTGGTTTCATGGTTTGACTTCCTGAGATACCAACCTGGTTTGGACAGTAGTGATAGGATGTTCAGTGTTTCGAACTCTCTGAACCATTTCTTTTTTTTTTTTTTTTTTTTTTTTTTTTTTGGTTTTTTTCTGGTACCAGGAATCGAACTCACAACCTCACACTTGCCATGCAGGCGCTGTGCCACTGAGCTAAATCCCCAGCCCCCCTCCACACTATTTCCCAAAAGACTTTCAATCCCATGTGGTCAGTGAGAGCTGATCTCTACAGGCTTTTAGCTATGAGAAAAACCTCCTTTGGCATCTGGGGCTCCTCTAGACACCTTCTCAGAAACCTCCCTCAAGAATCTAGACCCATTCTGTGCTCTCATGTTCTACGTTGAGGAGACGACTCCCCATGGTTCCCACATCTGCACCCCCAACCCCGGGCAGAAGAATCACATCTCAGGCCAGGAACTCGGAGACCTACTCAGCCTGTACTCAAGAACCTTAGGAAAGATCTCTGGTCTCTGATCTCTGCAATGACTTGAGCTTTTTATTTTTGCCAGTCCTCACTCTCTGATTTTAGTCTTTTCTTCTACCCCCTCAGTGTGTCCTTATCTAACTGGGGGAAGGGACAGCTGAGAGTGAAAACAAAGTGGAAGATCTTTAAACCGTTTATGACTCAAACGTTTTGAAGGTAAATTTTTTCATGTGTTCTTTCTCCTCTTTGCATTTTTCTTTTGCTGCTACATTCTGAATGCAGTATATCAAACATCTTGAAAAACTGAATACAAAAGAGCAAGGTTTTTTTGAAAAAAACTATGTGGGAATATCTGCTAACATTTTCTTTCATGTGTAAAAAAAAAATAAAAACTAATCCCCTTCAGTAAAGTTCTGATATAAAACTAAAGTGGACATTAGGATATATGTACTAAATATGTACAGCTTTTGGTATATCAATCATATATCAATTTTTAAATAAGAAAGTGGAAGAAAGAATGTAGACCCATAGGCTGTTTATAGCATTGTTTGTGGTGCTCTTTTGGTGTACAACTTTTTTCAATCTCAGCAAAATTTATCTATTAAATATGTGCACACTTTATACATATGTCAAAACATTTTTTTGTGGCAGCAGAAAACTAAAAAATATTACTACCTGATGGGGGAAAAAGAGAAAAGAAGGAAGGGGAAAAAAGATGCATATATATATATACACAAGATAGCTAGGATAATTGTACTACTAATCTCTATTAGTTCATTGAAAGGAGTCATTAGTGTTTATACTGTTTGATCAATTTTGCATGCTTGTACCTGGTAATCTGAGCAACTACTTTGAAGATAACAACATGCAATATAATAACCATTGTTAATTTCCTCATCTTGTTTTCAAATTCCGTATTGTTTTTAATTGTCCTTTGTATATCATTTTTTTGTCTCTTTAAAATAATACAAAAAAATAAATTTTCTCTTTAAAAAAATACAAAAAAGAAAATATTACCACCTGACTAAAATTGTCTTTACTTGCCCTCTAAGGTCACTTATTTTCAGAATTATTAAAATACTTCCCAGGTCCATCAAGCCACTCCTACAGTTCTCAACTCCCTCTGAATCTGGAGCAGAAACAGCAACTCCCTGCCCTGGGGTCTCTGCTCCCTCAAGCCGGGCTGGGCCCTATAGTTTGGGTGCAGGCTGCAGGTGCCTGGGGAGCACTGTGTGCTCACTGCACAGAGGTAGGTGGCCGAGTCACTGTGCTGGGAGTTTTGGATGTGCAGGGAAAAGTGTCTGCTGCCTGTGTTGAGCCGCGCTGTGAATCTTCCTTCTTCTTTGTCACCGCTGGAGTACATGGACATCAGCAACTCGGGGCCTCTCCCAGGGTACAGTCGGTACCACATGAAGTTCTGAGAACCACTGTTGCTATAAGTACAGTTAAGAAGGGTGCTGGCTCCCTCTGCGACACTGAGAGACTCAGGACTCTGCTTCACTTCATTCTGCTGGCTGCTCACCCCTGTGCACAAAGACAACAGGCAGACAAAGATTGATTAGGTTTGGGGTGCTTACTCTCTAGAACGAAAGCTACGTTTTCATGCGCCTTTGACCCTCCTTCATATAAGGGGAAAATCATTCATGCTTCTTCTCACAAACCTGGAATAGACAACTTCACACATTATACATCTGTTTCCACAGAAATGCCCAGGCTCACCATTCAACTGAAGCCACAGAATCACTAGCAAAACATTGAAGGGTTCCATCACTTTTTCCTGCCTGGTTCAATGAGGATTTCAAATTTTAAATCCTAACAGAACATGCCTTGTTCAAACAGTTCTGGCTAAAAAGACTCTGTTCTCCCAATTAGAAAAAAAGCTGCTTTTTATCGTCACTGCTACGCCAACAAGCCCTTCCCCTCTTCTCCGTCCCGCCCCTCTCTC